TCAAGGACAAGCCTCCTAGGCTCCCAAGCTTAGCTAAACTCTCTCTTAAGTACTTGTGCTTTCTGCCCAGAAGTTCACACAGTTGTGGTATAGGCTATTGCCTTGAAATTGTTTCGCGGCCCCTAGTAGACTGAATTCCCTGAAAAGAACACTGTGCCAGTCCTTTTCACATGTGACTTGGACTAGACCCCAAGTCTCTCTGTGATGGTTTCACTACTTGCACAAACAACGAATTGAATTCGCAAGTTCTGGTTTTCAAGTTATGTACATCATTTGAAGGTTTTGTAAGAATTACTGTGCATTGGATGGGTCAGAGGGGACTGGCTTTGGGTGCAATGTGGGGATCTGGCATAGTGCCTCACAATATAATATTCTTTAAAGGTCTCTGTTTTTGTGACTTATGAAAATGAAAATACAGTAACGTGTGTTCAATATATATGTATAATCATGCCATAGTGAAGGTTACTCTATGAGTAAACAACTTTTTCCTGCCTAAGTTATAGCTGAGGAAAATAAAATCATTGTCTGAAATGGAGATGAAGCCATCACTGTCCAGAGGTAAGCAGGCATTTATATGTTCGAATCCAGCAGTAGACAATTTCCAGTCTCAGCAGGGCACAGCCAAAAAATTGAAATAAAGTAAGAACCTTTTGTAGGGGAAGAGGCCGGTAAACAGATATACCTATCAACTAAGTAACTGATGGGTTGGGAGTTTCAGAATGCAGAAGGCTGGCTGACTTCCTCACTGAAGTCCTGGCGATAAGACAAAAGTGAGCATATTGCTCACAGTGTCAGGAGGGTAAAGAGAGGGTGTTTATGAGCTTTTGGGGACCTGACCTAAGAGCTAAAATTAGACCTCCATTTTTTTTTCAGTGTTGAGGATTGAACCCAGTAATTTACATTTGCTAGGCAAAGCACTCTACTGTTGAGTTAAATAGCCAACCCTCCAAAAAGAGCAGATAAGAATCGTATAACATTAAATTAATAGATAGAGCAAGATAATGATTTTGTGGTGAGGTTTCCAAGAGTCTCAAAGTGCTGAGTCATTGCACACACTCTGCTGAAAAACTGGACAGTATGTTGCGAGTACAGTCAAGATCTAGAAGTTCCTAAAATGAGTAAATAAAGTGACATTCAGCTGTTGCCTTTGAGGAGAGAGTGGTCCCGAAGAGCTGTTGATGAGGTCAATGGTCTAGTGAGCTCCTGCAGAGGTGGGCAATGACTAGGGGTGTGGACCTTTTAGATCTCTGTTCCCTTACTGCACAGGCACACTCTTCAGTTTTAGTTGAAGGGGCAGCAACTTTAGCATGGAACTATAAAAGTCACCATTGCGTGCTGGTGAGATGTCCCAGTGCAGAAAGATGCTTGCTGTCTACGCCTGACAGCCTAGATTGAATCTCTAAGACCCATGCAAAGGTGAAAGAAGAGAAACAACTCCACAAAGTCAACATTTGACCTCCATATATTATATATGCCATGGCCCAAACACACACACACACACACACACACACACACACACACACACACACACACAATCGGGATGAGGCATGCATATATAAACACACTAAATAAATACACAAGTCATCATTGGGATAGAGATATGATATTCTTCAGCCTTCCTGTTCTATAATTAACAAGAGCAATTCCTCAACCTCTATTTTAGAGTGCCTAATGAGATCTACAAACTTAAATCCCTTCTGATCCCTAATGAAATAAACATAGAGCAATACACAGGTGCCTGAGAAAATCAGTGGGAAAAAGGCAGATGCTAGACTGATTTGTTTGATTCATTTGCTTAGAGACTTGCAGAGACATTTGATGGGGTTAGTTATTTGTAATAGGGATGGGCAACATGAATTTATAAGGTTAGCTATCAACATATTATGTATCCTACAATAATACTATGAGTGGTATAATATTTCTAGTATGTACGTGGGGGAAATACTATTAAATGGACCAGCTATAATTCGTTTTGTCTTATTATATGCTTGGTTAAAAATGGCCACTCTCATAATCAAATGAATATGAAACGAAGTGAACATTGTGATTCAGTTTTAAACATGAAAAATGTTTCCAATAAAATACTTGTTTAAGTTAAATTTTTGGGAAAATATATTGGAACTTGACAAAGTGCATTAGCATATTAAATAGAATCTTCTAGAAAGGAAGTCAGTATGTCAAGGACTTTCCATCAAATGGAATCAATCTTTCAGACCTGGCTAAACATACAGGAAAAAACTCATCAAAATTTCCAAGGATTACAAATCTTCATATGAACCCACACCCATAGTGATATCATCTCCATTGCTTTTTGTTTTGGTTTGGTTTTTGTTGTTGTTGTTGTTGTTGCTTTTGAGACAAGAAATTATTTATGAAGCTTACAGTCACCTCAAATTCTCACCCTTCTGCCCCACTGTCCTAAATTCTGGGATTGCAGGTGTTTAACACCATGCCCACCTTAGACCATTCACAATTTTCAGTCACTTAAGGGAGAAATGGACCTTGTAGGATATGTTCATTCCACAGATGAAAGGAGAAAGATCATTGACCCAAATCATCAGACCTTAGTTAAAACAAGCAATGAATTAAAGCAAGCATTTTATTCTTGTACATGGGCTGGAGCTGTCTCTCTCTAAAAGCAGGACATAAGGAAGACAAGGCTTTTATAGCTCAGGGGTTGGGGGTTTCCAAATGGAGGATTTGGTTGGCAAAATGTGTGGCATTACAAGAACCGAACATAAGCATGACAAGTTAGTCATAATGACCTCCAGAAACAAAGACATCTTTTCAAGATGGGTATAACAAGGTAGTCATATAACATTTTGAAACAAATATAGGGTTGTAAAACTGTCAGAAACAACCTTCGAAACAAAGTCATGATTGTTTTCCCTGGAACAGTCAGTACAAAATCATTTATAGTTAAGGTTAGAGGCAGTGAATAATTCAGCCTCCGAGAAACAGAGGTTTAGTCATAAACAGGCATGGGCCTAGTTTGCCTTTATTATAAGACAACTTTGAAGCCTAATGTGGAGGCAGGCTGCCTCGTTTCCTTGTCTGGGTCATCACTGGATGCCATTACCTGCTGAAGTGGTGCAGTTGAATCCATGTAAAGTGTGCATCATTAATACAAATGCTTACAAAGGGCAGGGGCTTGCTCTTATACAGCACAGTGGGTCAGCGAGATGAGAGAAACTGTGAAGAAAGACAATGACAGTGGTAATTTAGACAGAGCAGCTTCTTGGTTTCAAAACAGAATACATGCCCACAGAGCGGCAGGCTTCAATGTTTGAAGACACATTCACAATGCACATTTCTGTATACTATGTTCCTACTTATAATCTTCCAATGATAAAAAACAAACAAACAAAAAAAAAAAACAAAAACAAAACACAACTCCACTGAGGGATAACCCTTAACCAAGGGTCTCATTTTTCTTTAAGATCTAAATTTTAAACACTGAATAGCCAATAAACAACCCTTTTCTCTTCGGAGCCCTCTCTTTGTATCAGATCGACCACTGAAGCTGGTCCGAAAAGGAACACACTCCTAGAAGCAACTTATTTATTTATTTAGTTATTCTTGCAACTGGACCTGGGTGTTGATCATTAATGATGCCGTTCTCTAATCCCCTGTTAAACTTTAAGATATCATCGGGATAATAAAACAAATTAGTCAACTAAAACCTCCAGCTGAAACTCATCAGCGGATAGACGATAGACAAGAGGCGAAAACTCCTGAGAAAGGAGCCTACCCTGTAAAAGAAAGCAGCTTTTCTGGGTACACGGCAAGAGGGCTTGTCATAGTTTGTGACAAATTGCTGGTCCCTCTCAAAGTTTCTAATCCGGTAGACTGAAGTGGGGCTGAGATTTACATTTCTAGTAGGTGATGCTGCTGGTCATTGAGAACTGCCGCTTTAAGGGAACACGGCATAGGAAGGCTGTCCAGAGGGATGCACAGACTCTGCTAAGGCTTACAGGAGCTGAGGCTGGAAAGACTATGCTACCTTCGTCTGCTGGGTAATGGCGCCTTGGCTCTGGTGCTTGAGCCTTACTTTGCTGCCAGTTTGCTCACTCATAAAGAATTTATTGACACTTGCCATGCGCCAGCTATTGGGTTAGTCACAGGCCCCAAATTAAGTAGTCATTAAATCATCTACTTAAACAAATATTTATCGAGCACCTCATATTGGCCACGACATGGACTAACATCTGGAAAGAGGCAGGTTTCAGCAGCAGTGAATCGGGAGAACTGGCTCCTGGCTTCTCTGGTGTCAGTCCTATTTAGAAGAAGCCTTGAAGGAAACCTTGACTGTGCGGAGGCTAAGGAACACACAGTAGAGCTATCCTGGGGGAGGGGTGTGATGCACTGCACAGTTTCAGCTGAATTTCAGCTGCAGAGAGGTCTGTCTCACCTTCGCTGACAGCCTGGTCCTTTGGGCACAGTCGGGGACAATGAGCACTTCCCTGTTGGAAGAAATCAGCCTGCCCCTTTTCCATAGTTGCCTCTGCGTTTGGCAGCAGGGACTCCAGACTCGATTTTGCTAGAAACAGTGCCTTTCCAATACAGACAAAATAAAAATGTATGTTTGGCAGCCTGTCAAAGCTGCCCCAAGGCTGCTCGCCTGCAGGGCTGCATCAAAAATACCCTGTATGCTCTGCAGAGGTTTGCCCCTTTCCTGGGTCTGCAGATAGTGGCTAATGGAGGCCAAAGAGTGCCGAACATCCGGTTGCCCATTCCCCAGACCTTGTTACATCCGATGACAAATAATACTCATTTTTGTCCGCCCTTTCTCTCTATCAGAAAAGGTAAATCTGAAAGAGACCCGGAATCTGATGGTAGTTCTCTATTTATTGTTTTCTTTGGTTCTGATCTTTATTTTATTTTTTTTTTTTTTTAACTACTGTCATGTAATCATACGGAAGACAAACTAACACTCGTGATATTGCCTTGGTTTTTTGTTCCCTTGCTTTTCGGAGTCTGTGGTTTTTATAAAACCATACAAATGTACTGCCCACATCAGTCTTGATTACAAAGGCAGGCAGAAAGCACAAGGGGCATTCATTTACATCCCAGGGCAAACCGGAAGAACAGCCATCAACTGTTGAAGGTCTAGCAGTGGATGCAGGTGTCTGTCATTTCTTTTTCTGGAAAGTTTGAGGGATTACTATCTATAGCCAGGGGCCGTGGTATACATATACCATCCTAATATTTAGGAGCCTAAGACAGAAATATCACAGTAAATTTGAGGTCAGCATCAGTTACCTAGTGAGTTCCAGGCCAGCTTCAGAAATGCGGTAAGACTCTCTCTTTCTCTCTCTCTCTCTCTCTCTCTCTCTCTCTCTATATATATATATATATGTGTGTGTGTGTGTGTGTGTGTGTGTGTGTGTATTAGAAAGAACAAATATTGACAGTTTCAAATGTATTTAAATTGTTTTGAGGTGAAGGGCATTTTCAGACATTGTTTCAAGTTAGTGAGTTAATTTTTAAAGTAAGAATTGTCACACGTGTAATACTTAAACATAACATTCCTTGAGACATGGGTACAGCTAGTTCATCTCAGTGGCTTTCTGGGGGTTCAGATGGTGGACTCTCCATGTATGTTACAGAATACATGATAAAAGAACATTATCAAATACTTAACACATGCTCTTCATTTCTGGATAAAGAAACGGGTCTCTGAGAGTCTGGTGATGTCTTCCTGTTCTGAGTAGGGAAGCAATGAAGACCTGTCTCTTGCCTTCCAGGATTCTATCCATCACTACACCTGGAGCCCCCCCCCCCCCCAACATGCTTCCTGTTGTCCACAGTGGAGAGTAGAACAGTGTAGGAAAAAATAAACTGATATCAGTCAGTAAATATTACAATAGGCCAAGATGTAATTAAAAATAACTTCATAAAAATACAGGTCCCAGGGGAGAAATCACAGAGGAAATTTTATTAGAGTCAGGTAAAGTTCTCCATAAAACCTGTAAAAACCCATTAAGCAGTTTCAGGGAAATATATGCCACCTTTTACTGAAGTAATTTTAATGAGATTGATAAATGTGATTCACCGATAGAGGATGAGACCTCTTGCTAGAAGGGAGAACGTTTAATTTTCGTATTTGCTCAGGAAACTATTTATATTCCGTATCTTTGTTGCTGATGATGATAAAGATTACTTGACATTAGTGAATATAAACACGTAATTGTTTGCCATAACTCTCAGTGTTTATCTCCACTTACAGCATTCTCACTGAAAAGACGACTCGGGTCTTTGTCTCTCATGCCCCGAGCTCCTCCTGCTTGAATTTCCTCACATCAACCCAAGCCTCTTTTTCATTCTTTCCATCCAAATGCAAGCAGTCACCATCCACTTCCTGTAAGCTCACAGTGCTATTGGTTCTTACTTTGAAACTCTAGACAGATTGTGTCATTTTCTCCAGTACCTTGAGAGAAATCCTTACACCGAAACAAAGTGCTCGGGGCCCTTACAGCTTTACTCTACAGACACGTTGAAACTCATCTTCTACTAACCCCCTCCCCTCGAACCACGTTCTAGACTCTTAACATGTCCTCTTCTCCCAGAAGTAAGAAACCAATAGAGTTCAGCGACTCCGATGACGGGCTGACCACTCACGCTGCCTGGTTTCAACATCGTGCTTTGTGCTTAGCTTGGTGGCTTCTCTGAGTTGTAGTTTCCTCACCTGTGAAGCGGTATTCTAGAACTTCCCTCATGAGATCAAGAGCTTGATGGCCTGACACAGGCCACCAACTTCCCGTGTAAATCCTCAGTTAGTGCTGGAGCGAGCTCTCCCCCTCATTCTCGTTCAGCCCACTGTTCCCAAGCCACTCTTGAAGGGCAAAGGGGGCCTTCCTCAGCCTACAGGCTTACTCTTGGACTTTCTCTAGAAGCTAACAAGATGATTTTCTGGATTCATGAAGCATTCTGTCCCCATTTTCTTTCCACTTGAAGTCCTCTTAGGTCTTACACGGTCTTCATTTCTCCTTTAAGAAGATGAAATCCTTGAGAGCAGAGAGAGACTCTGACGGGCTGTCCATCTGTATCACTGGTGCAGTGCTCAGCCCTTGACAAGTGCTCCCTACCTGCAGAAACATGAGAAGGAGGCATGCACCCTTCCAACCCGCACAAATGTAAGAGACATGCGCACTCCCTACCTGCAGAAACATGAGAAGGAGGCATGCGCACTCCCTACCTGCAGAAACATAAGAGAGAGACATGCACACTCCCTACCAGGGACATGAAAGACATGCGCACTCCCTACCTGCAGACACATAAGAAAGAGACATGCGCTCTCCCTACCTGCAGGAACATGAGAAAGAGACGTGCACACCACTCAGAGTGCTTTATGTTCCAATTCACGCATCATGGGAAAGAGGTCTGAATCGAGTCTTCTCCTTTTTTACTCCCGTGCAAAAGTCAATTCCACTCATCCCATACCTATTTATTAATTGTCTAGTATTTACAGATATTCTTCCAGGCACTGAGGTCACAGCAATTTAAAAGTGACCATAAAACAGAATTACATGCTATGTAGAACGTGCATGGAAGCTTGTATTTAATCACTTACAAGCTACTGGAACTTTTGGCTATCACATGCTATCTCTTCATGAAAAAAATGTGTGTATTATTCTTCACAAGTACTAGTTGCCTATAAGATATTCCTACAAGTAGCTGATTTGGAATCATAAATACTGAGATATTGAAAAACACCTTAAATTTAGATAAATATTACCAAAAAAAAAAAAAAATCACACAACTACTACACACAAGGATCGCTACTTACCCACGACATGGAAAGTGACGTCTTAGTAGAGTTCTCATTTACCCGCCTCTGATTTTTAGAAAGGTTGACTGTCTTTTCCTATGTTTGTGAGCTGTTTGTATTCCTTTTTCTATGAGCAATCTGTTCATATTGGAATCTATTTTGGAGTCTGCTTAATTGTCAGATGTTAAGAGTCAAAACTGTTCTAGTTAATATTTCTTCCCCATTATGTTCCACTGTGTATTGCTAGTCACACTCCTTTGTTTTTAATGTGTAGGGTCATTTATAATACATACAATTGATTAGGTTAAGGAATGGAGGTCACTGTCCAATAAACTTTAGTTTGCTTTGATAAGCACCATGCCCAAAGTAGCCTGGGGAGGAATGAGTTTATTTCAGCTTACAGGTTCCAGTCTATCACCAAGAGAAGCCAGGTAGGGGCTCAAGAAAGAAAGGAACCTAAGACAAGAACTGAGACAGAGACTATGGAGAAATGATACTGGCTTACTCAGTTACTTTCCTTGTATAGCCCATCTCTCTAGTGATGGCACTAAGCACAATAAGTTGGTTGTATTGCATCAGTTTTCAATCAAGAAAAAACCCTCTCATGTGCCTATGGGTCTATCTGATGACTCCTTGTCTGAAGGTCCTTCTTTGCAGGTGTATCAAGTTGACAACTGAGATTATACTCATTTCACTTTCTCCAGTTTTAATCATCTCTTTTATAAAATGGAAATGACATAAATGTAGTACATATTAAATGAGCCAACATGCCTAACACCCACAATAGTACCAGATACAGAAATAGCTCACTAAATACAACCATGCCAAACTATGTGCCCCATTAACAGCAGGTTGGTGGTGGTGCACGCCTTTAATCCCAGCACTCTAGAGACAGAGGCAGGTGGATCTCTGCTAGTTCAATGCCAGCTTGGTCTACAGAATGACTTCCAGGACAGCTAGGGCTGCTCCACTGTCTCGACAGAGAAACACTGTCTTGACAAACCAGCTAGCCAACCAACCAACCAACCAAAACAACAACAGCAACAACAACAAAACAAACAAACAAACAACAACAAAGTTATCTCTAAAGCATAGGAATCCAGTTGGTTACCATAATCAAGAGAGCCATCCATATTCTGCTTTTTTTTTCCCCCTTGACACTATTGTTAAGTTATAATAGTGACGAAATTGGCCTTGAGGTGCTCATTTCCTCAATAAACGAGCTCAAAGGATCATGCTAGCTTTATTACTATTTTTTAATTACAAAGCTATTTCACTCATTTTCTCATTCAGAAAATAGAATGGAACATCTCATAGCAAATATGATGTCTACATAAACTGCTATTATCACAATGAGGTATTATTCCATTATGTCAGATCTCTAGGGCACACAGACACTATAAGTCTTAAGGAAAGTCTATCTACAGAAAAAGGGAATTTACTAGTTATTCTCCTAATAAAGATCTCAGCAACACCTCAGGCTGAAATACCTTGATTTTTCACACAGCCTTATAATTTGCGAGGATGTTGTTGTCATTGTTTTACCAATAGCCATATGCTCCCACCCTCGGGAGGGAACACCTGCCACTCCTTAAAAGAGTTTGTCACAGGGGCACCATTTCCACACAGATATTAAACAATAGCGTGGAGTTCTTCTCAGTGAGTGAGTCAGCTAAACACAATGAAAGAAAAAAGAATGAGATATTCATGTGCTAATTCTTTAATAATTCGATAACTATCTACTGTCTGGCTCTTTTGGTGCTAGACATTGTCCTGGACTCCAGTTAAACTATGATATTAAGTCAACAAGGATATTGACATGAGTGTACTCCAGATAGTCAGAATGCCTATGAGAAAGAGGAAGGTAACCAAATGATTACATTTCAGGAATTTGATAAGCAATTGGGAGGAATGACATAGAACACTGACCTAGACTTAGTTTTGAGAGAATGGATCGGGAGAGCTCTGTTTTAGTAATTATAGAAGTGATCTTTGAGCACGTGATAGTTCATTGGAGAACTAGTGGAATGTAAGGTTATGTATAGACTAAAGCAGCTGGAGAGTGTTTCTGTTAGGGGATACAAAGGGCTTGCTCTCTGGGGTGACTGAAAGATGACCAGTGTGGCAGTCATACAGAGGTAAGCACAAAAATGAGAGGCTAAGTTTGGCCAAGCCAGATCTGACTTCACAAGGCCATGTCAGCCAAGATAAAGGGTTTGGGTGTCTCCAGCATGAGTGCTTCCTTCTCTCTTGATGGTCTGTTCTAGATTATTGCTGTAATCATTATCTGTCGAGCACACCTGTGCACAATGTTACCTTGGAGCCTTTGCGTGCACTCTGTTCCTCTTGCCAGG